AAACAAACTTCTCATTGAATTAATGAAAAGGAATGAAAATGTTCAAAGATACAAACTCTCGAAAGAGTGAAAAAGATAAGATAAATTACAAATATCCAGAAAATAATAAGATAAGTTCAAGAATTAAAAAATAAGGTAAAAGCTCCCCAATTGTAGCAGATAAGTGAGGGAGAGAAATTCTCAAACATAGGTGACATTGAACTCCACTGCGAAGCCTTAAATTTAGCCAAACTGAAACGGACCAATGGAGGTTTGCGACGATCTTTGAAAATTCTGAGATTTCTTTCGTACCAAAGCTCATAGAGCATGGCCTTGACTCCATTTGTCCACGGCAAGCTACTTTGTGGAGATAGGATTGGGCCAAGGAGTAATTGGAGAACATTATCCACTGCTATGTTGCTGAAAACCCAAGATAAATTGAACTCTTTGAATAACAAGAACCAGCAATGCAATGCATAAGGACATTGGAAGAAGATATGGATCAGATTCTCCCCACTTGCTTGACAAAACATGCATATCGATGGCCGTAGACAGAAAGCAGAGAGCTTTCTTTGTAGAATCATCTGTATTCAACCTTCCTTTAATGATGATCCAAACAAAAAAACCAATCTTCTTTGGACTCTTTGTTTTCCAAATAGCCTTATAAAGATCAGAAGGCATTAGAGATGTCGATGAAGAAGATTTGCAAAGAGATGCCACTGAAAATGAGCCTGAAGCCTCCAAGGACCAGAAACGACTGTCTTCCATACTGTTCGGGATGTAGGTGTTTAAAACAGCCAATAATTCAATAAATTCCTCAGCTTCCTCATCTTTAAGCAACCGCCTGGTTTGAATTTTCCAAGAAGAAGTCAGAGAATCCCAATAATTGGCAACTGTACCATTAGGTAAAGAAGATACACGGAAAAGACGTGGTTCTCTTACCTAAACCCTTATCTTTGGATAGTTATTGTTAAATGATTAGACATGTCATATAGATGTTAGGAAAAAACTTAAGGGCACTTAAAAATGCATGGATATAATTAATAAGGTGCCTTTTGGTTATTATGTTGTTGTTGGCCCTCAGAAAAAATTATGATACTTAAGCCTGAGCTTAATTATATAACACGTATATCCTAATTTTAAATAAATAACTTTTTTACATTGTTTCTTCCGTGGATTGCTTAAGTTTTCCTTTTTCCTTTATTTAAGGTTGGAGACGATTGCCGACAAGATGTTCTTGCTCTGCAAGTGATAGCACTTCTTAGGGACATCTTTCAAGCAGTTGGGATTAATCTCTATTTGTTTCCATATGGCGTTCTCCCAACTGGACCTGGTAGAGGTATTATCGAGGTAAGTTTTTGGAAACTATGTGGTTTTAACTTTTAGTCATGAGCTATGTTTTCCCTAGCGTGTGCTATCCGCACTAAGCATCTGTGCTGATGGTAAGTTTTTCCTTTTTTTCCATAGAAGTTTATGTTTACGATGAATAATAGTGAGGTGGTGGGTGGATTACTTTACTTGTAGTGAGAAAATATTAACTTTTAAGTTGAATGCACTCTTTAAGCACATCTATGATCCCTGTTTAAGTACTAGTTGCAATTACTGGGAACGTTCCAGAGTTTAAGGAACAAAATCAATAATATTTGTTCCATTCCTTATTTCCTGTTAAAATATGGCCTAAAAAAGTGCAAGCTTGCAAGATAATAAAGTTGAATTTAGCCTTTACTTCAGCAAGCTAAGTTATTAATTTCATTATATGCACTTGAGGCAAACTGGCATTCTGAAATTACTCGCTTGATTTGATTAAATACCATCTCCTATTCTTCACCTTCTGCTTTTGTTTACTAATCATACCTATACTTGTGTAGCAGTATTCATGAATGATCTTTTCCTTCTTACATGGATACGGTTATTATTGCTCCCCTTAATGGTGACCGTTATCAGGTCGTTCCTAATACACGAAGCAGAAGTCAGATGGGTGAAACCACTGATGGGGGCCTGTATGAGATCTTTCAGCAGGACTACGGGCCAGTAGGCTCTCCAAATTTTGAAGCAGCACGTGAGAACTTTATCATCAGTAGTGCAGGTTATGCCGTGGCCAGCCTGTTACTTCAACCAAAGGATAGGCACAATGGCAATCTTCTAATCGACAAGTACGGTACCCTTTCGTCTCGTTCACCTAAAAATAACTTCCAATTGCACTAGCCAAGCCTACTAGTTCAACAACAAGAATTTCTTTGCATCCCCTTTTTAATCCTGGTCAGCTGGAATCTGTTTAAAATAAAAGTTTCCTAGATTGATTAGGGCTGCTGATTTACAGTCATCTCTTCAGGACAAAATTCTTTTTATCTATTCCATAGTGACTAGTGAGAATGCATGGGATTTGATCCAGATATATTATCATGTTATTCAAATATGTATGTTCTATACACTCCGGGAGTTACTGCGGATAATATGTTCCCGAGTGTTGATGCATCGTATGTGAATGCAGCACTGGAAGGCTCGTCCATATCGATTTTGGTTTCATACTTGAGACATCGCCTGGGGGAAATATGCGCTTCGAGAGTGCACACTTCAAGCTAAGCCATGAGATGACTCAACTTCTTGATCCCTCTGGGGTTATGAAGAGTGAAACCTGGAACTTATTTGTAAGGTAATAAAAGTTCCTTCCTCTACTCTTCTGTTTCAAATTTTCTCACAAATAAAGTTTTTGGTCTTTGAGATTGATTGTATTAACTCTCCTGTGGATGTCCATAGCTTGTGTGTGAAGGGTTACCTTGCTGCCCGCCGTCATATGGACGGTATCATCAACACCGTATTATTAATGCTGGACAGTGGATTACCCTGCTTCAGTCGTGGTGATCCGATTGGAAATCTTCGGAAGAGATTCCATCCCGAAATGAGTGAGCGTGAAGCAGCCAATTTCATGATCCGTGTCTGTACCGATGCATATAACAAATGGACAACTGCAGGCTATGACTTGATACAGTACTTGCAACAAGGCATTGAGAAGTAAGGTATTTTTTTTTTAACTCGAGACTTTCAAATGTTAGTTTCCCCCCCTTCGTTACTCTTCCTCCTATTTTTTGAGTGATTTTCTTGAGATCCCTCGGCCCTGTAAAAATGGCTAAAATACAAGTTACCTGGTTTCTGTCTTATTTTCCGACTCGAGCAGTATCCTTTGACAATCGATGCAGTTTCGGTCGGGGTAACATGAAGTGATCATTTTTGTACATTCTTCATTGTTTATTGAGATCAATCTAAATTATTATCTTTAGAAGCCTTTTCTGATGACTACTTTCTTGATGCTTGCTGATCCCTAAGACTAATTATTTTCACCATGTTGGACAGGTTCCTCACTAACAACTTCTTTCCCAAATGTCCTCAATATCTTCTATAGAAATAATTTTTTCTTTCTTTAAAGCACTTTCCAAGAAACCGGGAATTAAGTTTTATAGGGTTCGTTTGGTAACGTTCTATTTCTTATTTCTGTTTCTTCATTACTTGAAGAAAAATGAATTGCATGACTCCAACATTCAAGAATTTAAGTATGATAAAATAATTTTTTTTTGTTTATGTTTTGGAACAAGAAGAAAAAACTTGTTTTGGTTTATAAAATTTTTATATAATTTTGAGAATGTTTTCAAGAGAACGAGAAACAAGAAACATAGTTAGTTGTAAAATATTTAAATTTCTCAAGAAAATTGGAAAGGAAAAACAGGAACGAAAATGTTATCAAACGAGTTGATAATTTTTAGATGTTCTTTTGTTGGTTTTTTAATTTTAAAAACATATATAATTATGAACTCTTTTCTAAGTGCATCACTGAGATATATATTATTTTCCACTAAATATTAATGTTATAAAAGTGCCTTTCTAATAACTTCATAATACAAAAAACAATGAAAAAAGTTTCGGAAAGTTACTGTGGATTGTAGTTACTAGTCCAATAAGTACTTTTTTCTAATAACTATTTACAAATATATGATTTTTGTTATTAAAAAAACTTGTAAAATTATTAGGTTAAATTATAAATTTAGTTCCTAATCTTAGTTCTAATTTGGTTTCTATGATTTAAGTTTCAATTTCGTCCTAACATTACCACACGGAAAAGATGATTGGTTCGATTCAATCCAACTATAAATTTTGAATTGAAATTTTAGATTGAAACTAAATTTGAATCATCTAAAACAATTTAAAACTTTTAGAATCATAATAAGAATAAATTAAAACTATATCTAAATAAAAAAAATCAAATTTATAATTTGACTTTTTTTTTTGTTTGTTTTTATTTTATTTTCTTCTTTGATCAATGAAGGGCTCCTCGTGTAATTGCATATAATTGAATGGTTTATTCTATATCTAATAAATAAAAGGATGATTGATAATCATTTGGGTCAAGTAATTGTGCGATTCCGTATGAGGACCTCTTTCTTTTTTGCCCACTCTTCGTATGAATTTTGCTTTCATTTCCCTGTATAGAGCATTGGTTTACTTGTGTTTCGGTCTTGAACAAGCACTAACAACAACCGCTCTTGAGTTGGGCGAAAAGGACAACTACTCATTCTTAAAACCAGCATTCTTGAGACCAAAGAGGCAGGTGGGAAAGGGGAAGTTCTTTGTTCCTACAACATGAAAAGAAAAAAAAGCGAGATACTAGAATACTTTCGAGTTATGAAATCACTTAGGTTGAAAAGCAAGTCGATGATGCCATAAGTCAAATGGGTGAGTGAGGCGAAAGACCTTCACTGCACTCACGGGAGAGAATGAATCATCTCCAATCTAATTGGTTGTCTTGTCTCCTTATTAGTAGCCAAAGTGTAGGCCGAGTAATTTTAGATTTGAGACAGCCATATATTGAATATTTGATAAAAGGAACCTTACCAGTGATAGATACGAAGTGAAGAAGCTAAAGATAGCCAACCTAAATCTCTTTTTTTTTTGCTTCCAATGCCTAGACTTTTTTCTTTGCCACCTCTGCTTAATTTATTTCAATGTGTCCCAACTTTTCTCTCTTTTTCTAATTTTTTTTTCTCTAACTTTGTTCTATCTAAATTTTCTCTCAAAGTTTTCTCAACTCTCTTTTTTCTTCTTCTTTAATATGTCTCTGGCTCTCAATTTTACTCGAATTTCTATATTTGCCTATAATTTTTATCTTTAAAATTCTCTTTTTTTTGTCTAACTTTTCTCTCCTAACATCTCTTTCTCTTTGCCTACTGACAACTGACATATCTCTCGCTCTTTAATTTTTCTCTCCAAATTAACGTTTTAGAATTTCTCTCTAACAGTTCTTTCTTTCTCTTTAAACTTTTATTTTCATGCTTTTACATCAACTTTTCTCTACCCTTTTCTTTATGTAGCATATCTCTCTAACTTTCCAAAAAATAGAAACCAAAAATAATTATCAAACTAGTTTGATTACCTATTTTTTAAAACAAAAAAAAACAAACAACTATATTTTTAAAAAATAGAAAACAAAAGAAACTAAATACATATATAGTTATCAAATGATATTTAAATAAGTTCTAATAATCAACTTCAACATAACTTAATTAGTTAATACATATATCATTTCACTGAATTCTAACCTCCATACTCCATATGTGGCTGAACTTATAATAATTCTAGTTTTATGTAATAATTAGAAGTTCTCTTTACTAATGTGAGGTTAAATTTTACATTTTTGGTCCATAATTCCCTAATCTGAACATAACTCCCATTTTTCCTTTCCCATTTCCCTCCCCAAACTTCTCCCTTTTTACATAATTGCCCCAAACACAATCTTCAAGATCAAGCCACACCGTTGGATCCTAATTCAATCTCACCCTTATCTTTCTCCGCATCATCCCCACTCTCCTTCTTCTCCTTCGGATAAAACTTCCAGAGAAGATTACCAAACAGCCCCTCGATCTCCTCCAAGCTCCGGCCGTGCGTCTCCGGCAGCACGAAGTAAAAGAACAGCCACGACACGGCGGCGATCCCCGCAAAAAGGAAGAACGCCCCACTGATAGTGATGGCCTTGTAGAGGGATATAAACGTCATTCCGACCACCCCACTCGTCATTCTGTTCACTATCACTCCCACACTCGCCCCTTGCGCGCGTAGCTTCAACGGAAATATCTCCGAACTGTAAACCCACGCAATCGGCCCCATTCCGATCGAGAAAAACCCTACGTCCGACAGCACCGCCGCGATGCACAATCCGACGGCCCACCGTGCTTTCCCCTCCGTCCGATTCACGATCAGAAGCCCGAACCCTAGCGCCGTCAGCGACGCGATCTTGCCGGAGACGCTGGCCAGGAGCAACGGCCGCCGCCCGATCTTGTCGAGGAGGAACGTGGCGACGAGGATGAAGCTAGTCTTCGAGAATCCGACGGCCATCGTCGCGAGGAGCTTCTGGCCGGAGGAGGTGATTCCGGCCTGGTCGAAGATTCTCGGACTGTAGAGGACGACGGCGTCGATGCCGGAGGCCTGCTGGAAGAAGTGGATCCCGATGGCGGAGATGAGGATGTGGCGGACGGGCGGCGTCGGCCGGAGGAACAGGTCCTTCCAGACGCCGGCGCCGCGGCGGCTGCGTTTCGGGAGGAGGACGACGTCGTCGGTGTAGTCCGGTGGGATTCCGGCGGCTTGCTTGATGTCGGCGAGGCGGTGGTGGGCGTCGTCGAGGGAGTCGGAGGTGCGGCGGAGGACGCGGTGGGCGTCGGCGAGGCGGCCCTGCAGAACGAGCCACCGGGGAGATTCCGGCATAACGAGGACGATGAGGATGAGGAACGCCGACGGGAAGACACCGATTCCGAGCATGAACCGCCATCCCAGGCGAGTCGGAAGCTTGTAGAATGCGTAGTTCGAAACGTACCCAAGCAGTACTCCAAAATTTATGAACACCTGTTCATTAATTTATTTTTAATCTTCTAAGTTTTAAAATCATTTTGAGAAAGAAAATATGCCAATTATAATACATAGAATAAATATGGTTTACTTTAAATTTAATTTAAGTTTTTAAGCATATTCTATGTTTCTATTTTAGTCCTTCAATGGTGAGATTTACTTCATTTTGATCTCCAAGTTTTTGAAATATCTTAGTAATCATTATAGTGCTTACTTTTATTTTGATTTTATCAAATTAATTACCATAAATTAGAGCAGGTATATTTAAGTAATCCTATACTAAAATCACATAGGTTACTTAAAATCAAGTCTTAAAACTAGCTTGAGGTGTGAGTCCAATCTCCACTTTCACGTATTGTCGAACTAAAAAAATGTGTATTAAGAAAGTAAATTTTACCTAAAGAAATAACCTATCAAAATAGTTGATTTTTGACCGTGATGTGACTAAATAGATATTATAAAAATTTATGAAACAAAATAATTACTTTTTAAAGTTGAGAAATTAAAAACAATTATTTTATAAATTTAGAGATTAAAATTGAAAGATCGAGATTAAAATAGAATATAAAGCGATGTATATATGTAAAACCGATATTATAATAACTTTTGAACTAGAGACCTAGAACAAATCAATTAAAATTATTGTAAGTACAAGATTCAAAATAATGCATTTGAGGGATGTCTGGATCGACATAAAAATTCGAAGTCTCACCCGTAATTACAATCTTATATTTAGAAATAAAATAAAATATTAAATTAGTGATTAAAAATTTCTTTAGTATCTAATAAAAAAAATCTTTAGTATTAATAATACTTATCTTCCAAGTTCCAAGTTCCAACCCATCAACAAAAACTACTAATAAAAATATGACGATTATTTATCTTAAAAAAAAAACAAAATCTATCTTCTCTCTTTCTCCATCTTCTTCTAAATTACTAATTAAAAATATAATGGTAATTAATTGGTAATTAATTGGATAATTTTACTGACTAATTAGGTAGTTTTTTTTTTTTAAATAATAGTGTCTCTCAAAGTTAATTTAACCAAAATTGTATAGACTAAACTGACAGTTTTTTATAATGGAATTAAGCGAATTAATAACAAAATTGATTTTTCAGATTTCAAATTTGCAGTTACCTTATCGTTTTACTGTGAATTCAAGAGGAAAATGAAATGGAAACGGACCTCCGGAAATGAGGTGAGAAATCCTCGAGAAGAAGTCGGAGCAACCTCCGTCGTGTACACCGGAGCTATCATCAGAGCGTATCCGACGCCGATTCCGGCCACGAATCTTCCGAACATCAGGAATCCGTAGTTCGTCGCCAATCCCATCAGTATCGCGGCGACGAAGAAGATCGCTCCGGCCAACACCATCGTGTACCGCCGCCCAATCAAGTCCGACGTTCTTCCCGCCGCCGCGGCGCCGATCAGCGAGTACAGGTTGATTATTCCCACAAGAACTTCGACCTGCACATCCGTCAGCTTGAAATCGTCTTTGATGAAAATCGCCGCCCCGCTCATTACGCCGGTGTCTGTTTCGGACGGAAAAATGTATCGATTTCATGAAACGATTGAGAAATTGATGAAATTAGGTTTTAGATCGGAGTATTTTTCTCACCGTAACCTAGTAAGACGGAGGACATGGAAGCCAAAATTGCGCAGAGGAAAGCGAATTTGTTCCTTTTGGCTTTCGGCTTCGGCTGAGGACCAAAATCCGGCCGACTGGTCTGGCCGGAACTTACGTCTTTCGGAACACTCATCTCCGGCGGCCGGACGGTGGAGCTGGTGGTCGGTCGGAAACAGTGCGGCCGCTGTTGTTTTAGGAGCGGACTGGAGACAGAGTTGTTTTGGGGAAGAAGAAGCTCTTATCTTCAGTTTGAAGATGAAAAGAAGAAAATGCTATTAAGGGGCAATTTGGTATTTCCGTTGCTTGTGTTTTAGAAAAATAACTCTTTGATAAGTTTTAAAAATTTTAGAACCGACATAATATTCAAGTTTTTTTTCCTAGTTCAAAACTATTTCAAAATATAAATAAAATTATTATATTTTTATGGTTCTTTAATAATTTTTTTAATAGAGTTGCGATTTGAACTCTCAATTCATGGTTGGATGCACATGTCTTAATTCGTTGAGTTATACTCTAACTAGCATCATTCTAATAAGTAAAGCAAAATACATATTAAAGGATAAATATAAGTTAAAAATTTTGAATATTTAATTTAAAAAGTTGATTTTCACTTAAAAATTTTAACTTTTTAATTTAAAATTTTACAAAACAAGAGGAAGAAATATGTTTTTTAATAAAAAAATGAAAAAAAATACCAATCACAAATATGTTTCTATTTATTAAGAAACAAAAAACAAAAGAAACTAGTCATAATTTAATCAATCCTATTTTTAATATTATTATGATATTTTTAATTTTTTCAATAAGAAAAAGGATTTAGAAAGATATATATATATATTTTTTTTTTTTGGAAATTACATTAGGAAAATTTTATTTTTCATATTTGATAACTATATTTCAAAGTTTTACTTTGGATCTTGAGCATTGCAACTTGATATGNGCTAGCAATCCAAGTTTAGGTCATCACTCATTGAAAAAATAAGAATTAATTATTTAAAAAAAAGTATGGGTTATGATAATGGCATGATCCTTTATTGAAGTCAATTCAAAGTTCTATTCTACAATTAAAGGAGAATGATTCTTGAATTTACGATAGAGTGAGAAAAGATATGACCTAACATGGTTAAAATCAACCTAAATAAAGCTCCTTAATATAATTTCTCTTCCTTTTTATTGCATTCTTTCACTTTTATTATTATTATTTTTTTAAAAATCATTTCACTTTTATTATTACATCTTGTCAGAGATTTATTTATAGGAGCATATTCTTACGAGATCTTGGTTGAATTTTATATAATGATTTTAATCAATTTGAGATATACTATTAAAAAATTTCATATATATATATTCGTACCACTGCCTATAAAAAACGGTGATATATTATTAAAGCGAGCATATCTTAACGATAGGTATATATGTCCAACCAAGAAGTTGTAAGTTTAATCCTCTACGCTCACATGTTATACTAACTAATATATGTGGACAACATTCAATTAGCGTCAAACACTGTTACAATCCCATGCTAGAAGACTTTGAAGTTGCATTATTGATCAAACTCTTACTTTATTGATTGGCCTATGTGCCTTTCTAATCTTTTGGCTTTTCCAGTACTCTAGTCTTCAAAGATCTAAACTTTTCTTCTATGTGGTCTCAAATTTAATTGGGATATGATTGATTTCGCAGCATGATTTGAATTTATTCCAATTTAGGACTACCTCTCCATAAATCAATATAGTTTTTTTTTTCTACCTAATTAATATATAGTATTATTATATTAAAGTCGGGTTTAAAACTTAGTTATACAGATGAAATTTCTGCACGTCAAATAGTAGAAGGTAGTAAATCTTAAAAATTTAATCATGTTGGAATGAAATACTTAAAATATCAAGCAAACAAAATAGGATGTCGATTACATCTTGAATCTTTAAATATGTGTTTGTTTATCGTATTCCAAGATTCATAGAGTAAGTTAATTTCTAAATATATTTTTTATCGATATTTTCATGAATTCATCTGTTGGGTATGCAAAATACAATTGAATTAGTGGAATGAATTTGAGCTCTAACTTTTTTTTCCTTTTTTTCTGGGTCTATTATGGAGCTCTGACCCTATGCAAAATTCCAAAATAACTTGATGAGAATGGAGATTCTTATGATCAAATAATGGTCTTACTTTTCAACTTTGATGTTGAACTTTGAAAACCTCTCTCTTTTTCTTTCCTTTTCATGTGGGTGACCATAGGATCCAACATTGTAACATGTGATGATGTTGAATTCTCATTTGGACTAAGCTTACTATGTACTACTAAGGAACTCTTTCAATTTGTGATGATTTTCAAATATTTTATTTTAAAATATTACATCACATATTCAACCTAAAAAACTGAACAAAGTATATTTATGTACGATTCTAATCGTATCTAATACACTGGACAGAGATGGTTGATCTGTCCACATGACTTGCATAAAAAAAAAATGGAGAGAGAATTTTTGACGTTCAAGTCAGTATATGGTCGATCTATTGTTCTCAAAATGAGGAAATAGAATTGTGTACTTGGTCCACATAATGGGTCTCTTTACTTATAGGCAAAGATCGGTGGGCCGCCACTTACCCGGTGGTTATACCTTTTCCGTTATCTGCAACCTCTTGTTGGAAAGACAGTTAAAGAGTGGTTAGGCACGATCTTTTACACTTTGGTCAGTCTTTAGAAAGGTCAGAACATGTATGTTGTATTCGTCGGTTCAGACTTTATGAATGTCAAACCTTATAACCACTAATAATTGGCTCGGTCAGGACTACTATCATCTAAGCTAATCTTGGAGTTGATCATTATTACACCTTGAACTCATCGGTTTGGATTGATAATTTTTAGATACGAATGTTATTAATACTTTGAATATGACATTTAAGTAGTAAACGATATTATAAATTTAGTATTCATATTTTGAGTATATCCTTAAGCTTTTAAAGAGGTGCAATTACATCCTTAAACTTTATATTACGTTTTGAAAACACTTGCTTACACATTCATCAATAGGAGTTCCTATTAACTTTCAAGAGAGTAATTTTATAGCCTAAAAAATTTTAATGAGATCCAGTTATGTATTAAATGTAATGAAACATACTAATAAACATACATGGACATCAAAAGAAGCTCCTACTAATTCTAATTGATTTAGAAGAATATAATTTCTTTGAAAATATAAATTAAAAAAATAATTATTCCTAAACATTTCAATTACTCTGACCATGCTTATTACCACTATTTTCCACAGCGTCTTTTTCTTCGTCCTTCTTGACGGAGAATTTCCACAGGAAATTACCAAAAAGCCCCTCAACATTCTCCAGATTCCTTCCCCGTGTCTCCGGAAAAACCACGTAAAAAAACACCCAACCCACCGTCGCAATCCCAGCGTAGAGGAAGAACACGCCTCCAATGGTAATCGCACGGTACAGGGACAAAAACGTCATTGTAACAACCCCGCTCGTAAAT